AGTAAGGTCATCAGCTCACTGTGTAGCACTGAAATGGAAAGACTCTCAACAAAAAAAATAATGTGATGATGGATTTACTGCAGCCTATGTGCCACAGAAAGCAGAGACTGCTGTTTGTTAGAAGCATTTCCAGTCCTCTGTGTGACCATCTGTGGTCACTGTACAGTGATAAATTGGTTTAGATGAAATCTAATATCTGTGACATCTGGAGAGCTGCATGCTTTTAGTCAGTCTGCTCTATTGACTAATTTATGGTTGTTAATGCATTTCTGAATCTAACAAGAGTAAACAGAGTAGCTGTTGAAATCAAAAATACACATATTTTTGCCTCCTGTTAGTGTAAAATCATCACCTGTTAATGTGTCTCTCCTTCAGTGTTTTCCATCACTGAAGAAACTCCAGTTACCATCACTCAGTAAACTTCCCTTCAAATCTATTGACCAGAAGTTTTTGGACAAAAGCAAAACACAACTCAACACTTTTCTCCAGGTAAACAAGCAGCTGCTGCATCTATATTTTATATCTCTATCACCTGCTGTGATACAATCACAAATGCTTCACTTTATCTCTACATTGTTAATTATAACACACAAAAACCAGGGTGCTGAATCACAACCTATTTCAGTCTATGAAATGTGTGAGCTCTTTTAATTAAATATTACACTGTAACGAGGTCTGTAACCTTACAAAGTCTGTGCTCACAAAAGCTTATTCTGCTTATGATCACAGCTGTTGATGATAACGTCAGGTGTGTGTGTGTCGTGTGTTAGCGTCTCCTAACAGATGAGCGGTTGTGCCAGTCAGAGGCTCTCTATGCTTTCCTCAGCCCGTCTCCAGAACATCTGAAGGTAAGCCATTTCTCATATTTCAATTTTAAAAAGAACTGGGAATAATATGCTTATTTCCATAAGTGTTTGCACATTTATTTTTTTAAAATTTATTGCCTGTACATAACAACAATGGATTTGAAATAAAGTTAACTCAATGGGATTAACTGACATATTAGATCAGCTCTGTAGGAGTTACAGTTTCCCTATTTTTACAGATTCATCAGTGATTGTACATATAATAATTATTTTCTTAATTCTTCACGTTTAATGACTACCAGAGGTTTGCAGCCCATAGACCTCATGCGATGCTGGATTTTCCTGTCTGAGGCTATAAATTTCAATTTTTATTTTTTCATAAAATAATGAAGAAACAGGCCCCACCCAGACGTGAAATTGTTGTCTTGCAATTGTATATTTTATTTAGCGTCTATTAAATGGAAGTGCAGTGACAAAATGCAGTAATTCATGAATGTTACAGCAGTTTTTGTTATCATTCTTTTTTACCTTAAAGTCCTCACCTTATTCCAAATCCACTGTGTGGGTGTACAGTGTGAAATGACCAAAATTGTATCACATATTTCCTTTCTTTTCAAAGCCACCACTTTGTCCTAGAGCTGGGCGATAGAACGATAACGATATGTATTGCGAAATAACTTTTCCTCGATAGAAAAGTTAAACCTACCCTGTTGAACTTATTATGGGAAATAAATATTTAAATAAAAACAAGCTGCTGATTATTTCACATTTTACTTGTGAGCAATATAGTTATTTGGCTTATATCGTGATAGATATCGTTATCGCCTGAAATGAAAAAACAAAACAAAAAACATATCGTGATATGAAAAAATCTTAAATCGCCCAGCTCTACTTTGTCCTGTTTTAATGCTTTTAAAAGTTAAATAACCATTTAACTTCATTAAAACTCAATCTATTTTAAACCCCAAACCAGAAGAAGCATTAGTTTCCTGTATTAGTTAATCAGCTAAAGTTCTCTGACATGAGTTGTGTTTGTTACTTTAATCTGAAATTTTGACCCTGTGAATTTAATGAGCGGCAATTACTTACATCAGATATGGGCCATTAAATACAAGGTTATTGCTCTAATTACCAGCAGCTTATTGATGCTCTTTTACGCACATTTATGGCTTTGTGCAGTGTTCGAGCAGCAACACTGGCAGAGCCGCTTCATAAGAGGGTCACTACTCATTTGACACTGGCACCATTAATGAGGAGATGCTGATTACAGGGCCGTGTTTGTGGATTCACAGGGATCCTTTCATGTTTCAGACCTTCCTGATAGGTGTGTTATCTGGATGATTTTGTCCATTGTATGCAGACCATTTTATAGTAATGATATCTTGTATAACGTTTGAAGGTGATGTCTATTCAGAAGAAATCCTCTTTCTCACTGGCCTCCTTCCTAGAGAGGTTACCTGGAGATTTTTTCTCCCATACTGAGGTACACACTCATGCACGACGAGTAAAGCAGCATTCCCATGCTGTCCTGCATCCTCATTTGCATGATGTGCGCTGTACGTTTTCTTCATAGGAGGATGGCGATGACGACAGTGACTTGTCAGACTACGATGAAACAGACGGGCGGAAAGATGCTCTGGCTGAACCCTGCTTCATGCTCATAGGAGAGATCTTTGAACTCAGAGGAAGTGAGCAGGACACTGTTTTGATGTTACACACGCTCGTGTTGGTGAATTCTAACTGCCTCAGAGTCTGTTTATCTGAATACATTCCCTCTCTGTCTGTCTTCCTGCTCAGTGTTTAAGTGGGTGAGGAAGACTTTAATTGCACTAGTCCAGGTGACATTTGGACGAACTATCAACAAGTAAGTACTAACAAGTACTCTTTTAGTCAGTGGTCTGGCAGTATTGTTGATCCAGAATAAAATATCTCATCTGTCGAGTCCAGATCCAGAGGCTTTGTTAACTTATGCAAGGTAGAGAGTGTAACACCTATTGTACATTTTCCTGAGATGAAAGTTTTCAGGCCTCTGTTGTGTATTTCAGACAGATCCGGGACACTGTAAACTGGATCTTCTGTGAACAGATGTTGGTGTGCTACATCAGTGTGTTCAGGGACACCTTCTGGCCTGATGGCAAGCTGGCGCCACATATCAAAGCTCGAACGGACTGTGAACGCACTGAGACCAAGGAGCGCGCTCAGCAGAAACTACTTGACAACATCCCAGGTAGCAACACACACACAGGCGTGACTTATTATTTCATTTATTATGATTGCACATGTTTGCAGTGTAAAAGAAATAAAGAATAAAGTGCTTGATTCAGCATGCTTTTCCTCGTCCACCAGATGCACTCACAAATCTAGTTGGCCAGCAGAATGCCCGCTACGGCATCATCAAGATCTTCAGTGCTCTGCAGGAGGCCAATGCCAATAAGCACCTTCTCTATGTAAGCGTGACACACATTTCCAACATCTGCGTTTCATTAAAACAAGATTTCTTAGCCATTTATTTTTTCCCTGTCTCCCTGTGTTTGTTAGGTATTGATGGAAATGTTACTAAAGGAGCTGTGTCCTGAGCTCAGGGCTGAGGTGGACAGTATCTGAACACATGCATGAGAATGAGGATCGGCTGGTTCGTCTTTCAGGCCTTTCTGTAGCTGACCAATCACAAACTGCCAAGCCAAACAGGGAGAGGGCCATTGGGTGAATCCTCAGACAGAAAGCAAGCTGCGTTGGTCAGAGTTGAGATGCACGAAGACTCTGTTCAAAGAAATTTGCTGTGAACCGGTGAAAAGTTGGCCTGACACTCTCCTGACAAAGCTGCTGACAGAAGGGTGCATCTCTAAACCTGCGTTTGGACAGGGAGAAACCACAGGGACTTCTTCCTATCTAGACTGCAGTCTGATGAGACTGATCACAGAAGAACAAAGTGTATTTTTGACTTAAGCAACTCACATCTGTGTTTTTCTTTTAAAAATAATTATAATTCTTTCACTAGCACTGACATTCAGCATCTGTGCCAGAACAGACTGAAATGAAATGTTTCACTCAAATGTAAATGATGGTGGTTTGGTCGACAACTTCTTTGTACATCTTTAATTTTTAGAGTAGATAATCGACTGACTTGACTAAAGACAAAAAAAAGACAGTCAGACTCGCTGTTGCCCTCTAGAGGCGACCGCTGTGAGTCCCAGCCCACATACCTCTGAACATTCCTTCTACACACAACCTGAGCAACACTTGTTCTGTGATTCTTGTAATAAGGCTTATAATTGTGCAATATAATGTAATGTAAAAGTCATTGTGATGATTTTATTTATGATTTATTATTGATAGATTTTATTTTTACCAAAAATTGTTTAGAGAGCATTTATATAAGCAATAAATTGCAAACAAAAAGTGGTTGTGAGTTTTGCATTTCTTTGGGGGGGAAAAAAAGTGTGTGTGTGTATATGTACGTATGTATGTATGGGGGGGAAAGCACAATGACGTAGTCGCTTGTTTAGAAAGAGCTTAGAGGTCACAGCAGAGATATGCAAGTATTGCGCTACATTTAGTAATGCCAACATATTAAGAGAACAATATTTGTCTCTCATATATAATACACTGTCAAAGATACTTTGACTTTGAGTGAAGATTTAAGGTGATAGGAAATATAAATAACTGCAACAGCAGTGAATTCAAGTTCACTGGTGTAATAACTAATAATGGTTAATATAATAATAACTTTAATATTGGCCATATTATATTTACATTACCAAAGTAAGATGACTTTAGTCTCATGAACAACATTAGCTAATTGTTATTTACTAGCTAATCTTAAAATGACTGCTCAGTACAGAAATGAAGCCCAATAATCACGTTTTTACAGTCCCGTGGTCTCAGCCTCAGATACTTATCAAATCAAAGCTCATGTAGAAACAAACAAATGAACAAAATATTTTTTTCTTCATTTCTGTCAAAAAGTGCTGTACGAAACGTTTCCAGCGGTTAGTATCATAGTTGCTAGGCAACCTGGGCAGCGAGACGGCGGCTAGACCGTCCCATTTCACAAGCCTCGCACTTCCGGCCTTAGCGGTCTTTGAGTACGCGGCCCTTGTGGACCTTTAAGGCTGAAGACCCAGAATTGGGATAGAGCCATAGTGTCGATATGCTAGAGAACATGAGATTGAAAAGCCTGTGATATGTGAACGATTGTGTAACTAGCTTATAATGGAGATACAGAGAAAACTTGATTTGATGAATTCCCAAATAAAAAACATATGTTCCTATTAACACGGACACATCAACATAGTTTCAAATTTGAATGGTTTCTGATAGCTGACACATCACAAAGTATTCCTACACAGTATTTTATTTCGACACCTGCGACCGGAAGTACTGCTATTTGTTTGCGATATACAATCGCTCAAGACACCGCCATCCTTTTCAAGCTAACGAACACTGCCTCGCAATCATACACCACCTAATGGTAGGTTTGACTTAATTCTAATAACAACAGTACAAAGTTCCAGTAGAAAGTTAACGCTAGCAGCTCGAAGCCAAGTGCTCATTAGCTAAGATTAGCTTTCATGTGCTTTTGTGGTGTTTTTGCTAACTTTACTTTGCTTTCCATTAGTCAAAGCTAATAAGCAAGCGAACCATAGCAATTTAAGTCGGTTTAAACGAACCAAACACGTTCTGGGCGTTACAGTTACGAGCACTTTCCATGCTACATACTAATTGCATTATTATATTGCTAATTGCTAAGCTAATACAGTTAAGCGGGTTAATGCTATCTGTGCCTGGAACTTGACGCCGGTTGCCTGACAACAGTAAATTAAAGTGATAGAACCGACTTGCAAGCGAAGCGGTGTGTGCTGCAGTTCATATCAGTGACGGCCGTGACGCACTGAACCCTGTATAACATACATTTTTATCATTTGTTCTCGCTGCAGTGAGCTCTCTGTAAGCTCACTGTAAGGAGGATTAAGTTGTTGTTTCCAGCTCGGTTGTGTAACTTCGCCGGATGGAGATGGACGACGAGCTGGAGAACTTCATCATGGAACGCAAGGCGAGGGTGGCAGAGGATAAAGCCTGTTTAGAACAAGACCCCCCATACATGGAAATGAAGGTGGGTTAGAAATAGATAATTTTCAAGGCAGACCTTTTGATAAACGTCTGAAAAACAACACCGTTTTAGACCAAATAAGAAGTTTATTGAAGTTAAACTTTAGCCGCCCTCTTTGCCGTTATATGCTGTAAGTAAGAAGTAATGTGGATCTTCTTTTCCTTCTGACTGACAGGCAAAACCCTACCGAGGCTACGGGTCTACTGCTAAGGAGAACATCCCTCCTAAGTCAAAAGCACAGGGAAGAGGTATAGATCCTGGCCACAATTTGTCACATCAGTTCATACTTTAAGTTAAATATTATTTAAGTATTTCACTTGTCACTTGAGATTTGTTTTGGTTTAAAATGGAGCACTGTAACAAAAAATAATTTCCCCCAGGGATCAATAAAGTATTCTGATTCTGATTCTGATAACACTGTTTACCTTCTGTCTCTATGAAATGTTGATGTGTTTTCAGAGGAGAGCTGCAGTGTGGGTCTCCCCCTTGGTGTGGAGTACGAGAGGAAGAAACAGAGGCTGCAGCACGAGCTTCGTATGGACTACAGGCGCTACATGACTCGGGTGACTGTCACACACTGCTCTGTTTATGTGTGTGTGTGTGACACTGTAGCGAGTTTGAGTTTTCAATCTATATGTGTCAGATCCTTATTCTAAACTTATACTTTTATGCTGCAAGTTAGCTATCACTTGTCTCAGGTTTACAAAAAAATTACATATCTTTTTCATTTTCTGAGAATTCTTCGGGTATCAAACTGCTTCCATTCTATAAATTGTTGGGGTTTAGTAGACCCAAACATCACAGTTTGCCACAATTCATCCAGCACTATCATCACAGCCTAAAGAGAGCTGCTAGCATCTCTGAGGCTGAGTTAGACTTCTGTGGGGAATCTTTGTAGATATTACTGATGTAAGTGGCTGAAATTGTTGTTGGCATTTATGCTTGTGTGTGCTGCATTATGGGTTAAGTACATTGTGATTGTGTTTTATACATGATGCCAGCCGATAGCTACAAATAAAATGCTGGGACTTTCCCCCCACCTGGGTCCCAACTCGTTGTCATTTTCCTTTTTTTTCGAGTTTGTCCACTTCTTTGTGGATATCCTCACATCCATTCCTATATCAGTCCCCTCTAGCAATTTGCTAACATTTGTGAGGCCTTAGATTGATCCTCGACATGTAGTTACATTTCCAAGGAGGTGCACTTTAGTTACAATGTAGGGTTTCAGTTGGCTTTGCGGTTACAACGTAGCAATATCATGAATTTCCCGCTTAAGTATAAATCTCCAGTAAGGAGGCAAATTTCACCAACTGACCAGGTCACACCTTTAGATGTGTGTGACTGTGCTGAGTGGGGTTTTTCTCTCCATCGTGGAAAAGTTTGCTGGGTATAGGATTTAGAATAAAATGGAGCATTGTTTCTTTGCAGTTTATTGGTGAGAAACTGTTCAATAAACTACATTTTTTTTTAGACATAGTTCTGAGAGAGATTGCAGACAGATTTCCGTGGCGGTGGCTCGGGAGGTAGGACAGATCCTCTAATCGGACGGTTGGTGATTCGATGTCTTCCTTTTGGCAAAATACTGAATTCCACTGAACCCCCAAAGTGTGAATGTGATGTTAGATAGAAAGCACTTGGTAACATTGGGTGAATGAGGCATATTGTATAAAGCGCTCGTCATGCTGTGTCACAAATATGACAAAGCTGTGTGGCAATTGAAAGACAGTCAGGAATAAGAAACATAGAAACCCAACTGAACATGTGCTCGGCCTGTTTATGTTGCTAATCCTGTGTTAATGAAGTAAAAAATAAGACAAAGGTTTCAGTTGTTCTCCATGTAATACAGTGACACACATGAAATATTACACACTCTACTGTAAACATCAGCGTTGTTGCGTACCTATCTGTACACCTGAGGTCGCAGCTCTAGCATCAAAGCCAGTTTTTAGATTCTAGCTACAGTCTGCTCATTAGGTTTACACCACCTGTTTCATCTCTGCTTTTATTTTATGTTACAGAAAAACCAGTTTGAACGTGTTGAGACTGCAGGACCATTACTCCAGTTCAATAACAGGAGGCCTGTCAAGGTAAATGCCTTAATGTCTTTTATGATTTTAATATATTTAAAGATTAGATGCTTGGCCGAACAGAATGGCTGCTAAAGTGGATGGTAGATGACAACAGTCCTGCTGAAAAGAATTTTCTCATTTGTTCATTTGGAATAAAACACTTTTATTTACCAAAACACTATAAACACAAAAGACTATAAACACAGTTAAGATGCACTGTGAAAGAGCCCACACATGTTTTCATCAGTGATTCTCAATCCGGGCGACTCTTAGTGGAGCGGTTACTTGTGATGTTACCAGATGTTACATAAGCCATTGTCCTGCATGAATCAACATGTGATTGTTGGGAGGATCATGTTGTGGCAGTGCTGAAGCTGTCCTTTTTCACATGCAGGATGCAGCAGTAGAATGTCTGCTTGCTGGCACTATCTGTCGCTGGTACAGTCACACCTCAAACAGACATTTTCCTTCCTACGTAAAACTCTGTTGGCTCAGAGCTTCAGTGTGTGTATAAAAGATGGAGACACCTCAATATGTGCACAAACACCATGTGAATGTCAGTAAAGACTAAAGTTAAAAACTAAGCTAAAACAATAGATCAGCGATTGACGTAGAAAGCTAAACACATCGAGTAAACTGTTGCAACAATAAAGGCTTTCATCTAACTTTATAAGCAATTTAAAGCTGTAAACTTTGAAACAGCACTACTCCAAGTGATACTCGTACAAATGCAGTAGTGACAGCTTGACAGTCCATTAATCCACTCTGATGTGATAATGAAAGACTGTAACATCTAATGTCAGATCAGACAGTAGCTTTGTTACTGTACTTGATTTCATCTAACATGACAAAACAAGCACGGTGGTTCGCGCACATGCCGCACAAGAAGGCCCTGAGTTCAATTTCACCATCAGGCCGGGGTCTTTCTGTGTGGAGTTTGCATGTTCTCCCCGTGTTTGTGTGGGTTCTCCCCGGGTACTCCGGCTTCCTCCCACTGTCCAAAGACATGCAGTTTGTTGGGTTAGGTTAATTGATTAATCTAAATTGCCCATAGGTGTGAATGTGAGTGCGCATGGTTGTCTGTCTCTGTGTGTTAGCCCTGCGACAGACTGGCGACCTGTCCAGGGTGCACCCTGGGTGTGCCTTATGATAGCTGGGATAGGCTCCAGCACCCCCCACGACCCCGAAAAGGATAAGTGGATGGATGGATGACAGAACAAAGGCAGCCTCTTTCTTTCTAGTGATCTCTGTTTATTTCTTCAATGTTGCCTTGTTATGATGGTGTGTCCTTTAGCCACGCCTGTCTGTGCTCAAACAGAAGGATGTAGCCACTCTAACAGAGGAGAGCAGGACGCTACACAGGCCTCTGTGCCTAGCTGAGGATGAAGAGAGGCAGTCGCCAGCGCTCTTCAGGCATCGAGACAGGCTGGGGAGGCCAACGGACCAGGAGTCAGAGGGAGAGGAGTGTAAAGATGAAGTGGAGCTGATTGAAGGCACAAGACGTATGGCAGTTAATGGCAATTATGAGAAGAGACGACCTACAAAGACCGATGGCAGGTAGAAGATTTTGTTTTTGTAGTGTTGATTTATGTGTTTATGATAAAAGTAGTGTTAAAGATAGTGACTTCTTTCTCCCTCATTTTATTTGTGTGTTTAGGGAAGATTCAGCTAGTGTTACCAGAGATGGACAGACATCCAGAGTGCGGAACAAATCTGCAGATGCTGAGTTTGCCACTGGCCTTTTAATAGGTAAAAAGACTTCCCGTGAGCAGCTCAAAAAACATCATTTGTGTTAAAACAGCTGAACATACAGTTACAAACTTATGAACCCTTTAAATGTGGAAAAGAATTGGGAAAATGAATTCAAGGTTTCAGATGTGGTCCCGTGTTTTCAGGAACAGTTGATACACATGAGGCTTTGCAGAGGAGGAAGGAGCGCTACCGACAGGAGCTGCAGGAGCAGATAGCTGAGCAGCACCGCAACAAGAAGAGGTGCGTCTTTATTTATGGTGCTTACTAGAAGCCCTAAATATTTCACCACTTAGCACTTAGTTATGACTTGCAGTGGCTGCAGAAATGGATACAAATTTGTCTTTGTTTCAGGGAAAAATATTTCGAGTTGAAAGTCGCAGCAACAGGAATAAATGACCCTGAGAAACAGGTCAGCTTACAGCTCATAAGCCACTCTCCTTTGCTCTGAGAATGTTTACACTGTGCAGGATATTTATCAGCTGTTTCTTTATCCAGCCGGACCGAATCAGACAGTTTGGACTGAGCAGAAGAAAAGGTGCCCAGGTGTCAGATCCTGTAACCACAGGTGATAGATCATCATCAAGTGCTCTACCTGACATCGAGAAGATTGGTGCTAGAGAGAGGGAAATGCCTCCCCTCGGGCAGGCTCACGTGGCCTTCCCGTCCCCTTTGCTGGAGTATAGCTCTGCCCTGGGCTTAGGTGGAAGTGGTCTGCCTCCCAACAGCAAGCCTGCCAACCCTGTGACGTCCATGGACATCCCTAGGTAGTAATACGAAACTTTACATCAGTTACAGTCTGAATGATTTCATAATGCAACACTTAAGATTAGGACAGGAGGCAACACTTGAGCAGCAAGTTGGTTGACAGTTTGACAGTGGAGCCAAATATGTCTGCATTGTTTTCATAACGAAATCAGTTAATAATAGCAATGATGTCATACTGCAGGACATGTTTAAATGAACTGAATGCAGCTGTGGAAGAGTAAACAGTATATAATGGCTCATGTCAGTGAGATCAAACAGTAATGATAATACAGCGTTTTGTTTTGGGAATCAGTGTCCAGTACGTGTTTGTGTGTTGAGAATCTGGATCCAGCAGAATTGACAAACACTGTAGTTAACGTTGCTCAATATAAAGATGTATATCGGATGACGATATGAAAACATCTATCGTCTCATATTATACGCTATCGTTTGTTTCGTGGTGTCACAAAAGAAACCGTTTACGGCAAATCTTTCCATCATTTTGATGGTCACTGTAGAATTTGTTGAAGTTCTCCCTTTTTTTATATTTAATGTAACCACACTACAGACGGACAAGCGACTGTTTTTATGCGTTGTCGTTAGCAACAACGATCGCGTGGCTCCACAATCCGCATGTTTATTTTCCACATAAACCTTTCACAATAAAGTTGAAGATTTGAGATTTTTCAAAATAAACAGAATCATGTGAAATAGTATGCAGAGTGTTTACGGATGAGAGGCCAAAAAACCCCCCCAAAAACCTTAGAGCAGGCTTTTCCCCGCAGCACGCCTTGTAATAAATAGTCACAAAGAAAACTGCGGCCATTTCATCTTATGTAACTCCAGGTACACGACGCCCAGCTGAAAACACTTTGCAAGTCGAGTTGCCTGAGATTCATAGAGTTTACAGAAAATATAAAATTTTTGTGATACATATCGTTGTCGGGACGATAAATATGAGATTTTGGTCATATTGCACGGCCCTAGCTGCAGTTAATGAAAAGGACCTTAAAGAGAAACTAGAATGATTAACCGTTGCAGGGCTTCATGAACCCTTTAAAGACACTTAAAAAAACACTAACTAGTCACAGTCCCAGCTGAATCCAGAAATTCATTCAGGATTGAATATTTATTTAGTTACAAATCACATGTTTTGAAATGGTTCCTCCCCAGACATCCTCTGTTTCATCCCCGCCCACCTCCTTCAGTGAGTGATGCATACAGAAGCCCCTACGTAGAGCCACATCACTACGCCAACAGAAGCATGCTTGATCCAAACATGGCCTACTGTAAGTCCGGGTCTCTGTTACATGGGAGTAAAAACACTTTCTGGTCTACATTACAAAACCTGATCTGAGTATAATTGGTATATTAGACAGGTGTTCTACTTTTAGTTTATTATGTGATTGATTTTCTTTCAGACGGGCACATGCCTGCTCCTGGTGCTGGCTTTCCCACGCCCTACTGGAATGTCCCACCAGGGGAAGCCGTGCCCAGCCAGCTTGGTAACCACAGCCCTCAGAGCCAGCACAGTGGCAGCAGCTTTCCTGAGCCTCCTATGCAGTAAATATCTACTCTTACAGTTTTCTAGAAGACAAGATGGCAGTAATTATATCTGTTATACCTGCACGCACACAGTCATGTTAGTGAATCCTGCCCAGGCCAAGTAAACTCATTATAGTTTCCAACAGAATGGTAAGAACGTGGCTTTAACTCCTGTTTGTGTTTGCTGTAAGACATGGTAGTAAGACACACCAACCAAAGTGCTCATCGGGTCTCAACTACTCTAACAGGCCCAGCAACGAGACGGCTACTGAACCATCGCATGCCTACATGTTCCCTTCAGAGAGATCCAGATCAGCCAGGGAAAGGATTTTGAGCTACAGGGATGCTCTGAAACAACAGGTAGGTGAGATAAAAGGAACCCTTTTCTTTGTGCTGCCACCACCCAAAGAACTTAAATTTTGTTGGTGCTCGTGATACAGCAAATCTAGTAACAACAGTGTTAAAGTATAAGCACAGAAGAATGTCGATGGATGTGGATTTGATTTATATGATTAAGGGGGGGGGCTTTAAATCACCAGAGAAGCATTCAGCACCGTTGATATTTAAAGGTGAATAAATTTGGCCATCACGGACGTTTGTGGTGATGATGTTGCTGGGCTCCTCCTTTGTTATTTGACTGAAAACAGTATTGGTAGAGAGTTGAAGGTAATGAAATTTCACTGCATCCTAGTGTGTGATGTGTTGACAGGAAGCTTCCAGGAGTGGAAACGGTGAGCTTTACAGCAAGGTAAAATGGATAAGGCTCCCTGTAAGTTATCTGGAATCAAAAATCCTTCTCATGTATTAGTCGAGTTGGCTGTAGAAGTAATTCTGAGATCCTCCTCTGTTCAGTTACTTCATAACCAAATCCCACCCTGACCCCTTTTATTGTGAAAATCCTCTTTCCATCTGCTTAGCGTGCATTTTCCCCTGGTCTTCTCTTTAGCATACAAGATCACTGCAGACTCCCTAAAATGTTTTCCAGGTAGTTCGTCGCTGTGCTTTGGTTCCTTGTCGTTCTGGTGCAGTAATAACTTAATTCTTCTGCTTTTTTTGGTTCCATATTTGCAGCTCATGTTTGAAAGCTTCTGATAAACTGAGCTGAAATGTGAAAACTGGAACAAATGAAGTCAACACAAGATATTCAGTTTTACTTTTGTTTTGTTTTTTTAAATGTTTTTGAATTTATATAATAGGCATCTTGACACATTTAATGAGAAAACGGTGGTAACATTCATCACTGAGGCTTACTGTTTTCATCAATTGGACAGATAGTTGTGGTGAAAATAGAACATTTCACAGTGTCTTGGGAACATAGTTGTTGATCGCTGACATTTGATGAGTGTTGAATAAACCGAGAAATACTGTTTGTTAGATCCAGGAGCAACAGGAGCGGAGGCGTCAGGAGAGGGAGGACAGGGAGCGTTACGAGGCTCAGCTGGAGGCTGACATGAAGAACCACCAGCCCTGGGGGAGAGGTGGAGGAGGAGCGCCGCTGAGGGACAGCACTGGAAATCTCATTGGTATGTCCCGCTTTGTACCGTCTTTTTATAGTATGCAGCATGTAACGAATTCAGAGGAGCTGTTCTAACTTAGCCTGCCTGACTCTGCAGCTGATCTCAGTCAGATGCACAAGCTGAACAAGGAGGCGTACAGCAACCCGGAGCAGCGGCAGAGGAGAGCCACAGCTGCTGCGGCAGCCAGCCGGACTGAGCACCTGGACCCCAATGAGAGGGTTTCTGGTAGTGTGGCATCCATAGCACTAGAAATATGACTTTGCTTTATTTAGCTTTTGTTTGCTATCAGATTATTGGTGACACCACAGCCATAAAACACAAAGAAAACTGGCTAAAACTGGCTGTTACTTCAATGTTCAGAAACTGGCATCTCCACCGAGTAGCATATCAGAATATCCAGAAACAACAGCATTGAGACTGATACGTTTATTTTGAAAGATCTGTTTCATGTTTTGTAGGTTTCACCCATGTACAAACCCCACAGTTTGCCAGAGGCAAAGTATTTGCCAGCCAGCCCACAGAGCAACAGCTCCAGGAGCAGGACAAGTACAAAGCTTACCTCAAACAGCAGGTAAAAGGCTACGCAGCTGGGGGCATTTCTCCTGTCGGTATTATATGCTACGCTGTCTTGTTGAAAATCGCTGGTTTAGTTCTTTATCAGCCTGCATTTGTTTGCAGATCGAGGAAAAAATGCATAAAAGGGCAGAGGAGAGAGAACGAATCAGGCTGGAGGAAGAGAAGGAGGAGAAGAGGCTGGCAGAGCAGAGGGCTCGCATCCAGAGGGAGTACGAGGAGGAGCAAGAGAGGAAGAAACGAAAGGAAATGGAGGTGAGAAACTAAAATCTGACGGATAGAAAGGCTTCGATTTGATTCGACTCGACTCGATTGGTAATTTGTTTCAATCGAATCGAAGGCTTCATCTCTGACTTAGGCTACGTTCACACTGCAGGCGAAAGTGCATCAAATCCAACTTTTCTGACCCTATGCAACCCATATCCGATCATGGTATGACAGTGTGAATGGCACAAAACCGATCTGGGTCACTTCTGTATGTGTTACTGAAGACGATACATATCTGCTGTTTGAATGGTCATGTTGCATTAAATCCGTCACTGATACAAGACAGACGCCAATTATCAGCGCCGGAGAAGACATCGGGAACGCTTCCTGGCCATCCAGTGAAACTGTTGGGAAGACAACGTTGGAGAAACATGAACATTTTATTTGTACTGTATAATCTACAGATTCTGACAAATCTGCAACTATCCTTTGAAGCACCGCTCCTCTCTAAAACAGCAATAAGGATCATTATTAGGCCAAATGTAAGTAACAAAATAACTTTATAACTTAAAGCAAAATTGGGAAATGTAAAGTCCGAAGTCTTTATATTAAGGGCCATCAGTCAAACAATACTGTTTGCTCTGAGTCTAAACAGAGCGTGTTGTGTGTGACGTCTTCTTTTGCGCATGCGGCCGCTTTGAGGGCCGTGAACCGTTCACACTAGAGCGCGTTTGCTGTCACATTTTATTTGTTGTGTGAACAAGCAGAAAAAAAAATTGGATTTGAGCATTAAGACATGCAGTGTGAACGTAGCCAAAGTCACTTTGAGTACTTTGGCAGGTGTTTTTATGCCTGTCTGTCGACCGATCTTTTCTGTGCAAGATGTAGTCATGAAACTGTGCAGATGTGTAGCTGAATTTAAAATCAGGGTTGAGTCCAGAGATGGGCGTTGGCCAACCCCTACAGAGTGAACACGCATGTAGTAACAAGTGCACACAGGTTGGACTGTAAATCATGTTGCTGGGGATTGCGGATGTTGTGATGGTTTCTAATTATAACACATTGCAAGTCTTTCTCATTTCCCTAAATCTTTGTCTTGTGCACTTCCTCTAATATTTTTTCTTTCTCTCAGCAAAAGGCCAAGAATGAGGAGCTGATTCAGCTGGCTGAACAGAGGAAGAAGGAAGCTGAGAGGATAAAGAAGGAAGCAGAGGAGAAGGAGAGTGCGATACTGAGGAGACAGTATGAGATAGAGAGACAGGCACGGGTGGAAGAGGTCAGTTCACAGATGTACAGCTGTGTCACGCTGTCCATCTTTTGACTTGATGCCTACTTAATAATCCAGGTAACAAAATCCCAGAAAGCAAATTGTCCCAATCATTAATCACTAAGAGTACTGATCACAGAAAGCTGTGGAATGGCTGAAATCACAGGATTGTAACATAGTGAAAGATACATTTTCGCCCCCTCGGTGGGTCAGAGACGGTCATTCCCTTTTCACATAAATGGTCTTCATGACTCTGTGATCCTGCTTCAGTGATGAACTTATACACCTGGACAGAGACGGAGTCACTATGAGCTGGTAAATAGGCGGCTGAGTCCTGGCGTGATGAGGTAGCTCTTCTGCTCAGCCAGAAGTTGTTCGGTTTTCAATGCTTTGGCACTTGAACCCCAGGGTTAGTATCTCAGGTGTTTGTGTGTGTTGGAAAGTGCTCAGGCACGTATAGATTGGGTGATTGAGAAAGTGCTTTGAGTGTTTAAGTTGAGCAGAACGATAAATACCAGTCCAGTTACTATACTGGTCTTTGTTTTGAGGGACGCGATCCTCGAGGTTGGATCTCCCCGAGTCCAGATGAACAAAATGAACTCCATTGCTCACTTTTGTTAACTGTTTACACTTATTGTGAAACACAATTTGTAGTACTGTCAGGGTTAAAGTCAGTTTATACAAGGAACAGAAGTATGAGATGCGAAGCAGACATCTGATGTTCAGGAATAAAAGTCATCATCCTCCATGTGACCAAATGTCTGCTCAGGTGTTGTATTTATGTTTCATATTTCAAGACACACATAACTACAAAGACTGTAACCAGTGACCAGCTGACCACCAGTGTTGGGAAGGTTACTTTTAAAATGTATTCCATTACAGAATACAGAATACATGCCCCAAAATGTATTCTGTAACGTATTCCGTTACGTTACTCAATGACAGTAACGTATTCTGAATACTTTGGATTACTTAATATATTATCATGCTTTTTACAACAACGTGAATGTACTATTGCTGTGTGATTTATTACTATTACTGAAGGTCCGCGACTCCGAACTGTAGTAAAGGGACCTCTGACTAATACGGCGGGGTCCCTGTCGGCTTGTAGCCGAAAAATAGCTTTACTTTGTTGTGTGGGTCAACTTTTCTTGCGAGAGACAGAGAGAGACGTTGAAAGGCTGCTCCAACGGAACTTATTGTTTTCGGAGGAAAACACGAAAACGGTGTACAGTAGAGTCTTAATAGCTCACTTACAACTGGGCTCGTCAGGCACTCTTCTTGGCTGAAGTGGTTATTATTATATTTACATGCTTCCAGCTCCCGTTTTTCCTCGATGACAACTCCTACCTTTCCACTCCCCTTTTTCTCCCTCCTCGCGCTCACAGACTCATAACGTGTATGGCAGTCCATTCTCCCTGCAACACGGACTACACTGCCCATGATGCTACATTCTTTAGAGCTATGCTTGTAGCATTCTGCCTGTTAGCTTAGCACAACAACAACAACAACAAGGCGCTCTCTCACCCAAATCAAAATCAAATCAAATCACTTTTATTGTCACATCACATGTGCAGGTACATTGGTACAGCACATGTGAGTGAAATTCTTGTGTGCGAGCTTCACAAGCAACAGAGTTGTGCAAAATACAATAATGTAAACAAGCAAAATACAAGAATGGCTACATCTGAAACTAATAAATATATGTACAATATATAATAGTATATGTATTTCTGGATGTGTATACTAAATATTTTTCTACGTGTGTGTGTGTGTGTGTGTACACATAATTTACAAATTAAATAGAGTAAACAATAAGTAGAATATTTAAAATAAATAAAATAAAATATACAGAGTGAGACATGTGCAAAACAGTGGCATTACTGTACAGTATGGAAACACACTGTCGCAGAGAGAGAGAGCGTCACCCTGTAACCATGGCAACCGTAACGCTGCCGCCTGGAACGAAAGAACGTAGCTGTCAAACAAAACCCAAACAGTCCTGACCCGCGACAAAATGAAACAGGAAAGTACCGCAGTGTAATCCATTTATTTCAACAAAGTAACTGTATTCTGAATACCACCTTTTTAAACGGTAACTGTAACGGAATACAGTTACTCATATTTTGTATTTTAAATACGTAACGGCGGTACATGTATTCCGTTACTCCCCAACACTGCTGACCACCAACATACAAATACTGTATGTGTCTGTGTGTTCACTTGAATTATTTGAAGACACCCCTTCATTATTTTGATCCAAAGACCAAACAGTGCCACTATTTGGTTTATCCCTTCCCACACCAGCGGAGTTGAGCTACCGTGCATGGTGCTGGTGTGAGCACTGGGAGCAATTAGTTGGGGTTCAATGTTTTGTCCAAGGACACTCTGACAGATGGACAAGCCTGTCAGCCCTGTGGTTACTGGGCCACCTACCTCCTGAACGACAGCTGCTTCTTTTAATTTCTTTCCTTTGATTAGCTTTCAAGATGAAAATGGCCGTCGCTGATTCCACTCAGGACACTCTCACTCAGTTCAGATCACTTCAGTCCTGCTTTATTGGCATGATGGTTTCTGAAAAAGATATTCTCAAAGCACCAAAATACTATTAACAGCAGAGCAATATAAACATGATGATGTGGAAAAAAATAAAATGAAACAGTTTTTATATCAATATGTTTGATTAAATAGAGCACACAGATTAATTCACAAAGGTGTGTGTGTGTGTGTGTGTGTGTGTGTGTGTGTGTGTGTGTGTGTGTGTGTGTGTGTGTGTGTGTGTGTGTGTGTTCAATCGTGTTCTTAGGTCAAGATGAAGGTAGTCACCATTTGTAGGGACTCCTTCTCTTGTAGCTACACTGCTATACCCTTCTTCCAAATATTCTGAACAATAAGTTTCAAATAATCAGTTGGCTTATATTAACTGTAGTATTTTAAAGTTTTATGTAGTAAATCACAAGCTGTGTGTCTTCAGGTCTACAGGGAACCCTCACCTCCAATCCCCACTCTGCAGAAGAAACGTGGCCTTCACCAGTATACCCCCAGACCTCCCACTGCTGACAGCCAACACTCTACAGTCCCATCGTCTGTAAGTCTCTTACACTCACTTCCATTAGTCTGACAGCATCTTGAGGTTGGTTTATCTTATGTGAACATGTTTGAGGGTTGAATGCACCCAGAGGTTTTTTGTAAAAGTTGTTATGCTAATGTTACTCATCCAGACTGAGTAACACTTTCTGTGTAAGTTTCAGTCTGTTGCACATGTACACATTTATTTCATGTCTCTTATGCATAGCTTTTCAGAGTTACTCAGGTCACAGTTAGCCGGTGCTAACTACCTGCAACAAGTCTTTTCTACAAGTGTTTGCACAGATCACATCTGTACTGTGATGAATGATGATGTGAAAGGCATTAAAGTCAAGACTCAATGACAGAATGTTACCAGCAGTGTTTTGTATTTAATATTTGAAAGGCTTAAACACAGGCTACTATAGCTGCACTGTTTTTAAGACTTTTCTTGGTCCAGTTTATTTAAAAGTTAGAAAATGTTTAATTTATTTCTCTGTAATAGAATATTTTCTGCTAAAATCCTTTGTGAATTAATCTTTTTGTTTTTAAGGAGCGGTCTCTGTCCGGTCTGCAGTCCCCTCCCGTCCCTGCTTGTAGGAACCAGTTGCGAGCTGCAGGTACTGTGTGAGAGCAAACATAGACGCCTCTGATCATATCTGCAGGATCTTTGTGTTGGGCTCAGTCTCCCATAAACAGTGTTACATTTTCTTTGACACTTAGAGTGATCCGTCCTTTCTTATACATCGACTCGGCTGTGTTTCTTTACGTTTTGCTGGTGCTGAGAAGGGTAATGATATTGAAAACACTGTATCAGCTATAGACTGTGTGTGTTTTAGGAGACCGTTGCGATCTGTTCAGTGAGCTGTCAGCATTGCGTCGGCAGCTCCGCAATGAACAAAAACGCCTGGAGGGTGACCTGCAGCAGGCGGATTGGGAGGATTTAGACTCTCCTCTGAATAACAGGTAAAACACATTCATCACTCATGCTGTAACCTTTGGCATACTAATGGATGCATATACATTTACTGGACTTCATATTGGATGTAGCTGTGCATCAGTTAATGCACATTGCATACTTAGATATTTCATATTGTAACCACCAAAAGTGTTCTTCTCTGTGTTTGTCGACAGCAGCTTTGCAGGCTTTTGCTTTCATGTTGTCACCAGGAGACTGTTACAGATTGCTCTTAGTTGTGCTGTTGTTGGTCCTTCAGAAAGACGTGGAGAAGAGTGAAGTTAGCAAGTGAAACTGAGTGTTTAATACACACTATCATTCACATTGAGCTACAATACCAGTAAAAGTTTTGTTACACCTTCTTTTTTAATGGTTTTATTTTCATGACTGTTTATGTTGCAGATTCTCACTGAAGGCATCAAAGCTATGAATGAGCACATGGAATTATGTAGTAAATAAAAAATTGTGAAATAACTCAAAAAATGTTTGATATTTTAGATTCTTTAAAGCAGCCGCCCTTTGCTTTGCTTACAGCTTTGCTCACTCTTGGCATTCTCTCCATGAGCTTCATGAGGTCGTCGCCTGAAATGGTTTTCCAACAGTCTTGAAGGAATTCCCATAGATGCTGAGCGCTTGTTGGTCCTTTTTCCTTCACTCTGCGCTCCATCTCATCCCAAACCATCTGCACTGGGTTTAGGTCAGGTGACTGTGGACGCAAGGCCATCAGGCGCCAGCACTCCAGCACTCTCCTTCTCGGTCACACAGTCTGGAGGTGTGTTTGGGGTCATTGTGCTGTTGAAAAATAAATGATGGTCCAAGTAAATGCAAACTTGATGGGATGGCATGTTGCTACTGGATGTTGTGGTAGCCATGCTGCTTCAGTCTGCCTTCAATTCTGAGTAAATCCCCAAAAGTGTCACCAGCAAAGCCCCCCCACACCATCACCACCTCCTCCATGCTTCACAGTGGGAACCATGCATGTAGAAACCAACGTTCACCTTTCTGTGTTGCACAAAGACACAAGACGGATGGAACCAAAGATCTCAATTTTGTCTCATCAAACCAAAGCACAGATGTCCACTGGTCTAATGTCCACTCCTTGTGTTTGTCTTGGTCCAGACAAATCTCTTCTGCTTGTTACTTTTCCTTAGTTGTTGTTTCTTAGCAGCTATTTGACCATAAAGGCTCCTCTGAACAGCTGATGTAGAGATGTGTCTGCTACTGGAGCTCTGTGTGGCATTTATCTGGGCTCTAAACTGAGCTGCTGTTAATTTGTGATTTCTGAGGCTGGTAACTCAGATGAACGTATCCTCAGCAGCAGAGGGACTCTTGGTCTTCCTTTCCTGGGGCGTCCTCATGTGAGACAGTTTCATTGTAGAGCTTGATGGTTTTTGCGGCTGCACTTGGGGACACATTCAAAGTTTTAGAAATTTTCCGCACTGACTGACCTTCAGTTCTTAAAGTAATGATGGACTGTCGTTTGTCTTTACTTAGCTGATTAGTTCCCGCTTGTGTGGGAAAATTCTAGCAGATGAGCAGTTACTGAAATACTGAGAGCAGTTTGTCTGGCACCAACAGCTATTCAATGTTCAAAGTGACCTAAACCACCTTTCCTTCCCTTTCTAATGTGATTGGCTGCCTGGGTATTTATGTTAACAACCTCTTGAAGAGATGCAAGTGGCTGTTAATGCTTTGTATAGTTGTGCTTGTACAGTCTTTTTGTATGTTTACAGTGTCTCACCTGTCCGTCTTCTCATTCTTCATTGTAGAACACACAACAGTTTCCCACTGACAAAAGTGGGCGGTGGGGTGGGTGGGAGTTGAGGAGATGAAATAAACAAACATCTGTGCAAGTGCAGACTTATTGAATTTAAAAATCAAACCAGCAGTCAGAAATAACCTCCATCTCGTCTCTCATTTGATCATAATGAGTCAGTGTGCCACTCTGCACACACGAGCATAAAGATCCAGACATGTTTGTGTTGGTATATGTGGAGATGCAACATGAAATTACAGTGAGGCAGACTACATGTAGCTGAATGACTCAATCATGGAAATGAGCTAAAAAGCTTGGCGACCTACTGCTTATCGCTTTGACCATCGTTGATCCTTGGCATTGTCTAGCAGAACAAGCCAAACTCAGACAAAAGACTGATCTGCTCTTCCATAGAAACTGATATTTCTGTGCGTACACCTGTTTCCATTCCTCCAGGTATCGCGAGCGTGCTGTGGTGGATGTGTTTGATATGGCCAGGCTGAGGCTCCAGGCTCCAGTTCGTAGGCCTAACTCCAGATATACAGAGCCACGAAATTTGTTACGAATCCAGGACTCCCTTCAGCTCAAGTACAGAGGTAACACAGTGATCTCAAAGTGTTGACTGTACTCTATTAGTAACAACATTACTTCACTATTATATGTTTACATTTACTTCTAATGTGGTAGATGAAGAATCGAAGTTGGGCTCCAGTGAAGTTCCTAAACTAGAGGAAGTAGGTGGGACCAGCAGACGGAGGCGGGACTACAGGGATTCATATCACCAGTTGAGCAGCCAGAGGTCTACGGTCCAGGACGGTCAGACTATATTTCAATTACTTTTTTTACCCTGTTATTACTTTTCAACAGCCAAAGTGCCATCCATTGTTGATAATAAAGAATATCCTACTTGTGTTGCAGATTATTTCGACCTGTCCCCACCACAGCAAAATGATCTACTGGTGAGAAATAATGTTTAAGCTGCACAAAAATCCTGTGATTTGTACCGTATCCACCAGCTTGTAGTTATTAGAGTGGAACTGTGAAAAGAGCTGTGTGTATTTCAGAGGAGCGAGACCAGGGGATCTGCAAGAGGTTCTCTGCTGGAGTCAGAGAGTGCTTTCATTGGTAAGACATGGTGAAATAAAAGCATTTTACTGCTGGTGAAATCCACATTCTCCTTTTGAGTCATAGAGCTGCAGGCGTTTCACTGACTTCACAAGACCCGAGTCTTCATGGCAGACAGCCATCCCGAATTCTTTGAGCTGTTACAGTACTGACATCGCTTGTTCTCTGGATCACAAACATAATTTACCTCCTGCTTTGTTTGTTTGTGTTGTTTAGCTCATGCTGGAGAAGTATGACGCACACCTGAATGTATCTAACTTTTCAAGTTGAGAAAGTTTATTTCAGTGGGGCCAAACTGTATACTGCAAAATGACATCTGGAACTTTTTAATGTCGAGGATGCTTTAAGTGACGAGGATCACATAAAAAGTTGCAGCGATGTTTGAAATGACTGACTTTGGTTGTGTGTGTGTTAAGACCCTCTGGGCGATGGCTCGTCAGTGCTGCAAACCCCAGAACCCGAGAAGACTCGTCAGCTGTCGGCCCGGGAGAGGAGGAGGCTTTCCAGACAGTCACAGCGCCCACAGGTATTCTTCTTAAAAACCATCCGCGAGTCCTGGTCAAACACGAAGTTTATTTGCTGAAGTTTTAACTTTTTTCTTCCCTTTTTTCAGGAGCGAGCTGCTTCTGGCCACCCTGTTGGTCATCATGATGATTACTCCGGCCACGCAGTTACCAGACAGCGGCAGAATGAGGATGGGGAATGGGGAAACCGGAACAGGACGGGTCATCAGGCTCTCAGTCGTCGTGGCAACACAGCTGGTACGACTTCATATTTTTTTGTGTAAATATGTTTCTCGTTGTATAAAAGCCCAGACCAGCATTCAGACCATCTTCAGGATTATGAAGCTCAGGGTCTAATATATCGATCATTATAAAATTCTGCATTAGGATTTTTAATGGGTTTGAAGTTTGCTCGATTCAGTAAGTACAGCATCGTTCATGTAAACCTGCAAACTAACAATATATATTTAGCAAATATTTGTTCTTATATAAAGCATGCATTGTAGCAGTGAAGATGTGTGTTTTCTGTGTTCACTTGTTTTTCTTCAGCACCGCTGGATCTGTCTAACGACGACGACTCTCCTCCGCGGTTTTCTCTTCATAATCGTCAGGGGTCTATAGAAACCGATCGCTGGATACGGCCAGAAACATCAGACACGCTGAAGTGTTTAGACCGTGCGATCAGAAGGGAGCGGCTGGCAACGTAGCACCTTGTCTCCTAAGATTTGGAGGGTCCTTTTGATTTTGAGTGCATAAGTTCAAAGTTGGTTTTAATTTATTGCTTTGATTAAAGATAAATGTAAGTTACTGTCAAGGAAAAGATGTTTCTCTTTTTGCTTCTGTTGAAACCTCACAGTTGTAATCCAGTGTGGGAACCTTTGTGGTCTTTTACATGTAAATTATTGTTTTATTGAATCTATTTTTAAATAAATTATTTTTTACTTTTATGTACTGTGTTTTGGTTTGCTTCCTTTTACAAGACATATCATCGCTAAAGCAAATTGCTCTTTGCCTGTAATTTATGTTCATGTCAACAATTTTCCCTCAATTACTCAAAGGTTCAATTTTCTCCCTTTTCATTCATATTGCATGGCAAAATTAAGACTTCACTGCTGCATTTAAATGTGAATTACATATGCCAAGTCACACAAAGTAGCATCAAGTCATTAGGACAGCAATGTCACGATACTGGAATTTCAAATGCAATACTATTTTCAGTACCACAGAGAAGAATTTGATCCTGCAGCAACAGAAGTTATAGCAACCGAGACATATATTGAAAAGATTAACATATATTTTAAACAGATTTTCCCATGAGTTATAAGTTTGATCAAAATAAGTAATTTTCAGATTAAAATTTGATTATTTTGCAAATTTAGATAATTTTCTTGTATTGTCAGAGTAAAAATATTTTCATGTTTATTCATGTTTAATAAATTATTAAACAAATAATTAATTATTAAACATGAATAATTAATAAAGAAATAATTATTCATGTTTGATCTAACTGCAGTCAGCTAGTTGATATATTTTTAATGATAACAGATGGCTAATGTGGCTAATTGCTACATGGCTAATGCTAACATATTATGTATAAATTATGAACTTTTTTATGAATTACTTGTCCATTTTTAATATGTTTTTTGGGCAACAGATGGTAATTAGCCTTTGGCTATAATCTTGTATGTTTACATTCATGTAATTTCTTTTTTTAACATGCACTGTCCCAACTAAAATAAAAAAATAACGTGAGCACTGACCAGGTTAAATTTCATGATGGCTGTTTCATACTGCAGTGTTGCTGAAGCGTGAGCTATAATGACCATGAAAGTGTTCCTAAAGTGTTGGTCAGTGGTATCAATGTTAGCTACTTCAGCTGTGAACTAGCATTTTTGCTACATGTGCTATTCCAGAGCTGAAATGTTTTCTTTTTGTACTACCCAGAAAACACTGCTAACATAGCTGTCATTATTTGTGACTCTCAGCGACGTAAAAAGTAAAGGTTCAAATCTCTCGCAGAAATCGTCACTGAAACATCTCGAAGCTGTTCTATTACACACGGTCTTTCAAGCAGCTCTAGGATTTCTCTTAACTTGAACATCGTTTGCCGCCTTCTGTTCGGTGAGAACTCACGCTGACAAACATCGTGACCTCTCAGGATGAATGAATTATGTTCTCTCTTTATCTCGATAGACCCGCGAGAGCCGTGCTCTACATCGTATCCCCGACCAAAACTAGAGAAAACGGCACAAAAGCTGCACAGCCTGTAGCTGTTTGTTTATCATTTGTCTTCTGGGTTTGATTTTCTGACAAAATGAAAGCGGAGCTGTTTACCGTTGAAGTTCTGGATGTGGCGTTCATCTGCCAGGACGTAATTTGTAGCAGAGCAACACACAAAGCACAAACCAAGTGCTGGTGTGAATCCAAGACATGGATTACTGCCCAAAAGAGACAATTTCTGTTTATTTGTCCACCAAACTCAGTGGCAGTGGGGGATGAACACAGTGTTACTGCTGTGTGTGGTGGGAGACTAGATCTCTGCACTGATTGCAGAGATCGGAGTGTGTTTTTGGCTTTGTACTGGTTCTGCTGGTAGCTGTGCGGTTCAAGGTTGTACAATCCCAAACAAGAGCAAGTGTCTTTCTTGTGTGCCACGTTCTCTCGCCACTGCACACGTCCTCACCTTTTTACTCCTTCCTTCCTGGACTAACACTGTCACCCGCTCACACCGCCTCCCCCTCACTCTGTATGAGTGATGACCCTTTCCAGGATTGGATAGGAAGGAGGATAGAAGCCATCTAAACTCTGCTATGCCCCCATTACTCAACCAGACACCCCAGTGTCAATATAAATGCATACACACTGCATCCCACTCAGCATTACACTGACTCAGGAAGGCCACAGCAACATAGCACAACTCGCAACTTCATCCAAAAATTGATTGTCCAGGCAAAAATCCTTTCACTTGGTTGAAACAATTTATTGCTCCGAACACATTTTATGGTCTTTAACTTAGTGGCCCAACCCAAACCACGAGAGCGGGAAGGCCTTCGCTCCCCTGTTGGCATGGAGACAGCTGGGATTAATGTCCAATATGGCGTCTATAAAATCTGTACTCGGTTGTTTTGTTACATGGCCTATCTAAAAATGTCTGATTTTAGCCGATTTCAAACTGAATCCACGGGTGTGCGTTAAGCAGACGAGGTCCAGCAGAAAACCATCATTTCTTCACAGAAAAATCTTCCCCTTAAAATTGCCCCTAAGACTGATAACAAAATGAAATGCATGTGCATCATTTAAAAAAAAAAAAAAAAAAAGCCTTAACTTCTTAAGTTCCTGAAATCCTTCACTTTTATATTCACACTCTATGCTGAGTGGCAAATCAGGGATTAATACATTAGAGACGTAAATATATGATAGAGCTGTGATATTGATAGGTCTGTTCATTTATGCAGTCAGCATTCTCACACGTTTACATTCCAGGCCAATGTCATTAATAGCCCATAGAGGATGTTTTCCAGTCTTACTGAGAGCCTGTGCACACAGTTCCTACAGTGCTCTTTTTGTTATCTTGGATTTAAAGACACATACTGCTAAGCTGTCTGCAGCAGTTCTGTTGCATAATTTTTAACACCTCTCTTGGTCTGATGCCAGTTCCTCAGCAGTAAACACAGGCAGAGGTTTGCCAATCTGCAAAAAAAAAAAAAAAGTTTAAAAATTGTGGAACAGTTTTAGGATAATATTCCTCAATGTAAGTTTTTAAAGTTTTCACAATCTGCAGTTCATGATATCATCAAAACATTCTGAGAATCTGGAGGAATCTCTGTGTGCAAGGGACAAGGCCAAAAATGAGTCAATTTGGATGTTCGTAGCATTTGGGCTGCAGAACTGTCATGGAAATCAGTGCATTAGCTCAGGAACACCTCCTGACATCCACAAAGTGAAGAGGAACGTGACGAAGCTGAACAAGTGGAAAGCAGTTCTGTGGTCAAATGAATCAAAATTTTAAATTGTTTGTAAAAACATGGACACTGTGTCCACAGACCGAAGAGGAGATGCACCATCTGACTTATTGTCAGTGCTCAGTCCAAAAGCCTGCATCTCTGACTTTGGCAAAGCCTCCATCAGCACTGAAAGGTATATCCAGGTTTTAGGCAACATATGCTCCCAGCCACATTATCTCTCTTTCAGGGGAGGGCTTACATATTTCAGCAAGACTAAACAGCATACTACATCTGTTACGACAGCACGGTTTCGTGGTAGAATAAACCCATCATGAAATAAAAAATAAAAAAAATGCAGAAGAAGTAGACCCGGGACTGCTGAGCAGCTGGAAACAGTCAAGAACGGGGCAACAACAACAACTCGTCTCACTATCATCAAATCCAGTGGGCAACTGTGGCCTCCACTTCCTTAAAAAATAAAACGAACACACTACACGTGTACTCTGTGTGTGTGTCAGTAGCAGTGCAGAGAAAATGCCGCCTGAGTAAATGACTTCGGTGCTCGCCTCGGACAGCGTGCCGAGGATCCCATTCATTTTGGTCAGTGTTATGAATCCTTGATAAGGCTAATGAAAGCCATTGCTCACTTATGCTAATCAGTCTCTTGAATTAGCCTGCCACTGGAGTGCCCTATTAGTGGAGATCACTGTGTAATGGATGATATCAGGGCTGCACTGCCCAATGCAGTTTGAGTGGGACTGCATGCATGTGTGGATATGAATGATATAAATGATCTCTGCACATCTATATCTGAGTGTTTCGGGGAACAGGGCTGCCATAGTTCAAGCTGAACACAAAGAGGGGGGAAAAAAGCTTTTTGAAGATTCTGCATACAATTTTCGATGTATTTTTAAAGTTGTTACTGGAAGCGAGCGACTCCACTGCACCACCACTGGATGGCAGTAGTGCATTACACTGGACTAGTTAATGGTACTGTAAGTTAAAGAGGCTCTCTCCCAAGAATAAATCTCAGACTGTGAAATAACATATTCACACACATGAGCCGGGCTGGGCTCATTTCAGTGGGCGCAGCGAGTATGATTAAAAAGATGAGAACATATTTAAATGTATGCACACTGAGACTGTGAACTCTGCCCGTGGTGTATCACCTTCAGCCTTAGAGGAAAACTCACTTCTTTGTTTGTTTGCCTTTTTCTACACCACTCCTTCCTTCTTCATCCTCTTCCCCGCCTCCTCCTCCCTCTCATCACTCATAAAGTTCAAGCCGGGAAGCATTGGACTAAATTTTGGATCAATCACTTGATCATTCCCTACAACATCACCGCTACGCCCAATTTAGCTGACATACACACAGACGCAGACACTTGCCCGTGCAGATACACACTTGTGTGGCCTATCCCTTATGTTACCTCTGGGATGTAGCTGACAAATGACAGCACTACTCATCTGCCAACCCAGAGTCTCTTGCTCGGCAGGGTGTGTGTGTCTGTGTGTTGCAGGAGGGGGGAAAAAAATCGTTGAGGGACATGGGGAGATGGAGGGGAGCACTGGCAAGACTCTCGCTTTGTGATTGGTTGAAGTGAACATCCTGCAGAGTTATGGATTTTTGACAGAAAAGATGGTTTGCTTCGACCATGTTGCGCAGCAGACTATGAAAATCAGGTTATTTTCCTGCTATCTGAGTCCAAACCAAATATATATTTTTTTTACTATATTGTTATTTCGCACAGAGGACAGCAGCGGCTATAAAAAAGGAAGCGAGGGATGTAAAATGGAAGATAAGAGAGCTTAAAGCTGCAAAGGGCTGCAACTTTTGAGGAAATACAGCCTGTAGTGTGATTGCTGCTTAACCTTACCATGTTTTGCCTGTTGGACACATTTTTCAACTGTCATTGACAAAAACCTTCACATCAGAATTCAAACTATGCTTAGTTTGAGTCCAGGTTTTGTTAAACAT